GCGTGGCATATTTAAATTAGCCCGATGACGATCAAATCGGATGAAAAAACGGCTTATTCTGTCGAAGACAGCTTTGCACAAAACACGTTGCAAATCGTGAATGTAACCACGATTTGAATGAAACCACCCGCGGTCGCAGAACTGTCCATTCCACTCCTCCTCAGACTTAGGGTTCCAGTTTTATGTTGAAATTGTGATAGAAGCTGCAAAAAATATCAGTCTTCGTTTAGTTTCTTAACAACAAAGCGCCGCAATTTCAGTAATTTCGTGTAGAATGAAATGACGAATGTGACATAAATGTCGATTACACCAGCCACGAAGTGGTCTTTACTGGTATATTTACTGATGTGATATGGTTCTTAACTCATATATTGGAGTCACGGGCGACTTTTATTTCTATTTCAATTTTACTTCTATTTTATTTTCTTGTAAAAGTATAATTTTCCATACTTTACTACTTTATACACTGGCTAAGAATAAATTATCAATGGAGCACTTATCTAGATTTACATTAACACAATTTCTTGTACTTTGGGATCTAGCATAACTCCGTAGTAGTGATATCATTGTATAAGTAATTTTTGCGGACAATTATTACGACAAAGAGGGTATGGAAATGAGATCTATAAAACGGTGCACGCATCGAAGGAATTAACCAAGGATTAAAGAGTTTCCGAAAGTAACTATTTCAAGCTGTTAATCGGTTCCGAATGAAACAATTATGGAGACCGGAGAAAAGTCTTGTCACTAGACCGCGGATAAATTGACAGTATGAAATAACAAACAACGAAGACATTACAAGAATTGAACATCGATTTGCCTTCGCATATACGACACTATCGAATAAATATACAATCGAATAAAAATGTATCTGCATAAAACTTTATCCAATGTTCCTAATAAGGAATTGTGCGAATAATTTAGAACGATTATTCATTATTCGTCATAAATTATTCTATATATTTATTCGAATTAATAATTCGCATAATTCTTTATTCGAATGAATTGTTACCTAGACAAATTTGTATTCGATCCTATATTTATTCGATATTGTCGAATAAAATGTGATTCATTAGAATTTTTCTCTTCTCTATCAAACGAATAAAACATTGCCCAACTTTGGGATGGTGGGACCAGTTACCGTGGGGTGACGATTCAAAGATAAACAAAATAAAAGAATAAAAAAAAACTGTAACACGTCTTATTGGCTAAATATGAAGTTAATTGTGCGCGGAAACAAACCGAAGGCACAGCAATTGGTGAGCCCACAGTAACCGGTTCCACGACCCTACCCTGCTTCGCGCGAAGCTCCACGAACATTTTCTATTCCGCGTGAACATCCGTGATCGAACGATAGCCGCGAGATTGACCGCGATGCGAGCGGTCGCGGGGAGAGCAATCTCGTCTAACGAAATCGGCGGGCGGCACAGTGTGTCATCTTCGAGTTAGCGTGATGACGAGCGAAGCGGAGCAAAAAACTGCTATAGCAGACTCGCGCGTAACACGCAGCTCCGATTAGGCCCCACCGCCGTTAGGCAGCCTAACCAACCAGGATACGCCCAGCCACGCTTATTACTCATTCGGACACGCCACTTTATTCGAGCGTGCGCCGTGTGCTTACCTTGCGCTACCAGTAGCACCGGACGTGGCTCCTGCACAATGGCCGCGCCACACCGCGCGATTGGACCCCGGGGGCCTTTTTTATTGCTGCCTCTCCACTCCGCGGGACCACTCTTTTCGACTACCGGTCAACAACTGAGCCACTTCGCGTGCTGCTTTCATTCGGTCACGCTTCTTGATTGATCCTCGCCCTTACGCGCCGCAAGACGCGGCCGTCGCGCGGCGAATCGCGCGCGTTCCACGATCGTTCACGGAAACGCCGCGCCGTGTCCCAGTTTCGTTTTATGCCCCCTTAATCCCAGGCACGTTCTACTTCCCGTATTTGGTCTAGCTGATTGTAGAATCGCTCTGCCGTGCCGGCGACGGCCATTTCACGACGCTCCAGATTGTCCGAAGCTGAACGATGGGTTCAGTGGAAAGTTTAAGCTTCGAGGAGACGCTGATAAGTTTTCGTAGAGATGGTTTGTGGGAAGTTTCGCCGTTTTAGGGAGTAAAGCGCTTTTAGTCCGGTTAATTGGAATTGTTCGAAAGGGAAGAGGCCACTTCTTAATGTTGTAGATTGTTCAAAGCTAACTGCTGGATTTTGGGGAAAGTTCAAGTTTTGGGGAGAAGCTGACGTCGATAAGTTGTATAGAGATGATTTTTGCGACTTGGGAAGTAAACTATTTATAGTCCGATTTATTGGAAAATTTATTGGTTTAAAATGACAGAGTCCATTTCTTGATATTCTAGATTGTCCAATGGATTGGCTGATGGTTTTTGTAGAAAGTTGAAAGAAAATCTGATATTGATAAGTTTTCGAAATGATTTGTGAGGATTTTCACTGCCTTGGGGAGTAAACAATTTATAGCCTAATTTATTGGGGTGGTTTAAAACGAAAGAATCCGTTTCTTGATGTTCTAGATTATCCAAAGCTAACTGATGGATTTTGTACAAAGTTCAAGTTTGAAGTGAATCTGACGTTGAAAAATTGTAGAAATGGTTTCTGAGGATTTTTGCTGTTTTTGAAAGTAAACCGTTTATAGTCTAATTCATTAGAATGGTTTAAAAAGAAAGAAACGATTTCTTGATATTCTAGATTGTTGGGAACTAATTGACGCATTTGGTGTAAAGTTCGTGTTTTGAGGAGAATCTGACGTCGATGAGTTGTAGAATTAATGGCTTCTGCGTGTTTTACTCTCTCAGATAGTAAACCATTTATAATTTGTTTAATTGGAATTGTTTAAAACGGAAGAGTCCATTCCTTGATGTTCTTGATTGTTGGAATCCAAATGTCGTATTTGGTGGAAAGTTCGAGATGTTTCGTGGAGAATTTGAAGCTGATAAATACTAGAAACGAGGATATGGTTCGTGAGGATTCTTGTTGCATCGTGGAACAAGAAATGTCAGGATAATTAGTATTGCTCGAAAAGTAATAGTCTTATGACACGAAACTGTTACGAACACTTAACGTAGCATGTCCAATGCTATGGCTTCGTGCGTCTATTACTTTCACAGATATTTGAAGGTCTAGTCTAATGCAATCCTACTCTTAGACTCTTTCGTGTTGGTCCTGTTATTTTCAATCATTATTATCGTCTACTTATTTTCGGTGTCTTTCAGTGTGGAATATTTGGCCTCATAATGTTCGAGAAATTGTGTCTCGAACAAAAAATTGACTAGACGATATGAAGATTGGATCCAGCAATTTTCTGTAAACTATTAAACGTATACTGTATAACTTGTTTCGAATTCTTCACGAATATGTGCATTCATTTCGAGTCCAAGCGTAGTCCGTTTTGCGTTCGTTTTCATTGCACTTCAACTTAGCTTTTCGTTGGACAGCTTATATTATAGGATCTCCGGCGTAAAAAGACGTTACGCGTTTGATCCTTTTCAACTTTTCAACTTCAACTTTCTTTGTGAGACAAAATCACGAACAAAGTTTTCATAAAACCGCTTGCGTTGCTATGCAGTTTGAACCGATTGAATTGATAATAAAATATTCGAACACGCAAGTATTCATGTCCAGATTGAATGACGAAGATTTATTGTTTCTTGACAGCGACGATAAGTGAAATGGCTGACTTGCACCTATAAATTCTAAGTAAATTATAACATATTATAGCAACAGGTACGGATAGCCAAACTATGCATTTTGTCAATTTATCAAAGATCGTCAAAAATTCATTGTACAACAGTTAACAAAAATGAGTGCAGGTTATATTTTGCTTGAATCTCATTAAGATATTTAATCGATCAAGATCATTCCTGCTTGGTTTTGATCGTTCGTAAAACGAATTTAAGAATTAAGTTTGTTCTGTGCTGGAGTATTTGTGAGAAGTAGAATCTGCCGATCATAGACAGACGCGCGATGCAATTTCTATTCAATAGCGCTCGAAATTATGCATCGAATGGAAAAAATCAATTGTATTACCTGATGCTCTTTATACATAAATATTCAGTGTATCGACAACGTAAAAACTAACATTCCTCGATAAATAAATTTTTAATCATGCTATATCGTTTCGTTTGTTCCACAACAGGCGATAATATTGTGCTTATTATACAAAACATCAACTAAATCAAACTGAATCAAAAACATAAATTATTACCCGTTTTCGTAGATCCTAAAAATATCTGCAGTGTAAATATCATAACTAGACTACGGATTTTATGCATTTATAGCAGATTTAGTCGAATGCAATTTAAGATACTAAAACGATGAAAAGAATTCGAAAATATCAATCTATTATTATTAATCTATTAGAACCATTAAACAAAGAACGAACTCGCTGTTTAGTTTCTATTTCTTGCGATCGAAGCAGCCAATTTTTATTTTGCATGAAAATCCGACAGAAACACTGTCTAACAAATTGAGTCCATGTAAAACCGTTCAAACCAAGTTACGCTTGCCAACGATCATGATAACCTTAATCATCAGCAAACTCCATTAAAACCAGTAACATCTCAACAAATGAACAAAGCAACCGTTCTGCCAATATTCAGTCAATCGTTTCCAGTTCTGTTAACAAAATCCCATCGATATCGCGCGATTCTCGCGCGGATCGTCAAATCAATCTCCGTGAACCGCGAATCGTTCCCTCGTAATAGAAACGTCGCGAGCAACTCGCGACATCTCGTCTAAAAATGACAAAGCCCGGCAAGAAAATGGCTGCCGTCGATGCGACGAAATCATCAAAAAGAAAAAGAAAGAAAAGAAATCCCGACCCAACAATAAGCTGAGACACGCTCGCATCGGATTAGACCGTCCGAAAAGAACCGTTCGAAGACTGTAGCCCGATCGTCGCGGTTCGCAACGATCGTGGCCGTTCGATCGAACGAACGATCGCGTCCCCATGGATCGATCCGAAAAATCATTGCTCCTTTATTTCCCGCAGGTAGAGAGAGGTACGAGGTTCCGCGCACGAGGGGGTACAGCCGGAGTGATCTCACTCCCAGAAGTTAGCCGGTCGGGACTAGGTTTGCGCGGGAGGAGAAGAGCGACACGCACGAGAGCGGCGAGAGAGGGATCCCAGGAGGAACCCCGTCGAAACGTGAGAGACCGAGAGAGTAAGAGAGAAAGAGAGAGAGAGAGAGACAAAGAGACAGAGACCGAGAGGAAGCAAGAGAGATAAAGCGAGAGAGGAAAAGAGAGAGAGAGGAAGAGCGAGAAAGAGAGTAAGAGAGATAAAGCGAGACGGCCGCAGGCTGAACCGGTGGAGGGAGCGACTCGAGGCGTTAGCAGGACCGTGAGAGAGGAGGTAGAGGGAAAGGAGACAGAGAGTCGACCAAGAGAAGGAGCGGTGGGAATTTATAAGGATGTTCGCGATAATGCCGATGGAGACAGAGGGGCACGGCAGGGAGTTCGGCCGCCGGCAGAAGATGCGCGCCAAGTGCACGGTAGAGTTCGTCTGCAAGTACTGCCAGCGGCGCTTCACGAAGCCCTATAACCTCATGATCCACGAGCGCAGCCATAAGGACGACGTGACCTTCACTTGCGAGGTCTGCGGAAAGTCCTTCAAGCGGCAGGACAACCTCAAGCAGCACAGGTACCATTCTTCATTATCCTTGCAATCGTTCTATCGACGAATATCGCGGATACGTTCCTCGTAATTATGATCACATTGAATTGTTTTTTTTTTGTTTGTTTGTTTGTTTGTTTGTTGCCGAGCCTCTTCTAATTTGCCGCTCGGCGACGGGACCAGTCTCCCCGGAGTCGATTCGCACGGCCAGACATTGATTAGACGGGCTCGCCTTTTTTTCTCATCTGTGCGCCGAGTTTAATAGTGCAGCCGACGCGTCTCTCCTTCCTTCTCCTCTTCGATCACCTCCCCACCCGCCCGCCGATCTTTTCACGTTCTCGTTTTCATTTTTGTTTAATGGGTCCCTCGTAAATTTTTACCCTCGCCTCCCCTTCCTCCCTGCCGGCGTCGTCCTCTCCTTGTTCACGTGTGCACACGCGGGACCCAGTGATGGTTATGAATGAATCCGTGCCAGCCCGAAAGGTCATACTGTGCTGCTCGCGTCCGACAGGCACGCAGGAGGCTGCCGCGACTACTTGACGGATGATAGATCGTGTACAGTGAAGTTCAATGTGACCGGGCCGCGGCCACCAAAACCGTTCTTGTCAATGTCTGCGCCGATCGCGGGCCCGACTTTCGGGGCTGGGCCCGGCCCTCCCGCTCGTTACGACCCGTTCGACGAATGATGAATGTTGCCGGCGATGTGTTGTCTGTCTCTCTGTGCTCCGCTCGTGTTCCGTCGGTGTGCTGTGCGAAACGATCGCCGCTGGTTCGACGGTCTGTTGACATTGTCCGGTGCTCGGCAGTGGAAGCCGCGATTGTCCGGGCTTAACAGTGACACGCGAACGTTCGGATAAGAGAAGTTACAGTGCCAGGTTTCGTCTTCGTTCGGTTTTCTCGTTAATCGTACCGAATGTGGCTCGGGTTCGATTCAGCTGATCGCGGGCGCGGTACGACAGTGTTCGCGCGATGGTGATTCGCAAACCGTCGCTAGAGTTCAGAGCGGTTCGGCTTCTTGTTTTCCGTCTGTCAGGAGGTGAAATATACTGTGTCGCGTCAAAACGAAAGGTTCATAATCGTTTGTCGAGCAATGGTGCAGTAGATCGTCGAAATTCGTTATCGGCTTCTGAAACGTCATGATTCGCAAACCGTCGCTAGATTTCAGAGCGATTTCATTTTTCTTGTTTCTCGTCTGTCAAAAGTTCAGTTATACTACGCTGTATCAAAAGAGACATTGATAATTGTTTATTTGGGTAATCGTAGATTTGTCGCAGTTTTTGGTTATTTATCACGTCGATTTTTGAATAGCGCAAACCGTCGCTAGATTGCTCCGCGGTTTCACTTTTCTTCTCTCGTCCGTCAAAAGTCCAAATATGTCGTGTTAGATCGAAATGAAGGTTTATAATTGCTTGTTGAATAATAGCGTAAAAGATTGTCCAAATTCTCGGCTATCGATTATCGATTTTGTAACCATCGCAAATCGAGAGCCGTCGCTAGATAACCAAGCGGTTCGGCTCCATGGCTTTCGTCTGTCAGAAATTAAAATTCGCTGTGTTGCCGAGACCCGGAAATTAACAACAAATAACAATTAATGATAACGTGGAAGATCGTCAAAATTCTAGGCTATTGATTGTTGGCTTTTGAAAGATCGCGAGTGACGAACCGTCGCTAGATTTCCAAGCGGTTCAGCTTATCTTTCGCCTGTCAGAAATTGAAATGTATTGTGCTGCATCGAAGTGAAGATTAATAATTGTTAATTAAACAACGATACAGCAGATTGTCGACATTTCTAATTATCAAGTTTTGACAGATTGTTGAAAAATGCTGATGCACTGTAAGTTGCATCAAACTGAAGATTAATCATTGTTAATTAAGCAACGATACAGCAGATCGTCGATATTTTTAATTATCGATTATCGATTTTTGACAGATTATTGGGAAATACTGATGCATCGTTAGTGCGCTCTTATTCAAAACTATCGAAAATCGGGAACTGTGAGTTGTTGGAACGTTTTATGACGGTTTTCGGTGAATATTAACGTTTGTGACGTCACGTCTGCAACGCAACGTGTGTCGCGTTTGCATAGTTGCAAAGCAGAAACCATAGTTTTTGATGATCGGTTAACCGTCTCACTGCATTTCCAAGTAGACGATGAAAATGATCGAACTTCCACGATTTACAAGCGACGGTTTCCAAAGTTTCGATTCAATGCTTTGTCGCGTGAATTCGACTCGCAAATTCGCGCATACGATTCCGTAGTCCCCGGACTAGTTCATAAAACTTTACGAGAGGGTTTTTGTTCCGAACGATCGGATTGTGGATTTTAAACTAGCCAAGTGTGCCTTGCGTATTGACTTAGGCGAACAAGAATAAGCCTCGCTCTGAAAACTGGTCAGGTCACTGGTACGACTTCTCCTGTAGTTGGAAGGACAATTTAGCGTCGATAATACAGTTGAATCTCTTGTATCCGAATCGACTGGCATACGTGATTTTCGAATGATGAAATTGTTAAAGAATGAAACGACGATTATAAATGTTGCTTATTTATTCAGACGTCGCGGAGATTGACAGCTTGTTTCGACGTAGCACATAGACGGTTAAATTACATCATCGCTATACTAGAGAGTGTCTAATCAATATCAATGTTACTGGTTTTCTTTATACAGGAATGAAATCTTCGCGTTATTAATATTTTATATTTAAAGTAAATGGTTTATTATAAAATAGGGTAGATTCAGACAGTTTGCGAAATAAATCAACAAACCACATAAAAATATGTAAATTCATGTAAATAATTGCTTTCGGCTGTATTTATTATTACTTTGCTTCAAATTACAGAAAATCTCTTCGAAAATTTATTGATATTATAATAGTATAGGCATGTTTTGCGCGAACACAATGTATTAAGAAAAGACAAAGAATCAGATATTGATTGATCTCTAAAATTATAGAATGGATGTATTTAACCAATAAGCATCTATTAATATTAAAAAATAGCGAATTCGTTAACGGAGAGAATCGAGTCGCATAAATTTTGTGAACTTTTCAACTTTTCATGTTGTAAAACTATGTTATCCAGATAGTCTTGAAACAGGCATTAAAAATATAAATGACAGTCGAAATCGCGAATAGTCAATCTTCGTGGGAAATTTTCTTGTAGATCGTTGTTAACTAATTAAACTAATGAACTAAATGAACTCATATATGAACTATATGAACTCATCTATGAAAGTTATAATAATAGAATAATATTACAATGGAAAAACTTCTTCTATCGTTATCGAACAATATAATTCGCAACAAACGGAGCACAGACTGTTAGCAACAATGAAAATGTTTTTGGCATCGTTTACGAATATGCATAGTCGCTTGAAACGTCTCGATCACTAATTTTCTGAAACAAAAGTAGATTTAATTTCTTCCTGTGTAGAATATAAACTAAAATTTCGATTGTTTAAACATACCTTTTATGATAACGTGTATCAATGCAAAAGAATAATCATCACTAGATTGCAGATTTGATGCATTCATAATAAAAGCGAGTAGTCGCAATTTCAAATAGTAGAAAGATTATAAGAATTTAAAAAATGCCAACGTGTTTCTTTTCAATTAATAGGAATTATTGCAGAAAGAAAAAACTAACTAAATTAGTTTCCATTGTATAAAAATCCGCAGTCTAATCGTGACACATTCGAAAGCATTTTCTTGCAACTAATTTCTCTTCGTCGATCAGTATCAAAAGTGATCAAGAAACTTTTCGCCGACAGCGTATTCACTTTCGAATATTTCAGCAAACGTTCCAAGCAGAAAGATCGTAGCATTATTTCGTTGCTCGTGAACTTCCGAACTAATTGCATCCTTCACCTATTGCACAAGAATTCTTCACGAGCGAGACCGACCGAAAGATTTATGTGGGGCAGCTTGAATTCAAAGGGTCCAGAGATTTCGATGGAACCTTCGCGAGATCTGGCTACAACGAGCAGGCAGTTCGTCGAAAGATCAAAAGTTCGTTTGCCAAATGTTGAGCTTAACGGAATAACGAACGTTACAACTTCTATGAGGCCACCTGGAAGCTCGACGCGAATAACGACTCGATTAAATTGAGAGGCCGGAGTCGCGTTAAAGACAGCCACATATCATTCCGCGATCCGTCGGTCGTCGACGATAGGCCGTTGGTAGAGAAACAGCTTTTGAAACAACAGCGTAGCATAAAATACAATCATGATACCCGTGGGACTATCATATTGATAATTAATTACGGCTGCGAATGCAAATTTGTTCGTTCCTGCGTTACTATTTCCGTAGGCAGCGACTCGTTTCCACGGCGAAGTCCCTCTGACTTCGTTCTCATAAGCCGAATGATTTTTTGTGGTTCCCGATGACATAAAGTCAACGATTTTACGGAATAATTTTAAATAATTTCGAGACTTTAATGGTAACTCCTGACGATGCAACCAATTCCGCGGCAGAATCTGGGTGATCAATTATGCAAATGCGGAAAGAAAGATTTTTTCGAACGTCCGTAATAAATAACGAGAACATTACGACCGCTTTTAGCTTTCAGGCCGGAGGATGTTTATTAAGGCGTAATTAATTACGATGAGAAACAAGTAACAGCTTGTTAGACAAGGAAAACAGTGTCGTACATCCGGCGATGTTAGTTTAGTTTTCTAAAATTTTGAACGATGCCGTCAATTTCGAAGCTTATTAGACTTTTATCCAGATTTTCAGAATGAAATGTTGTATTGTTTTAGCTTCGTTGTTTTCTGATTGTTTCGCAGAGATTTTAAGTACGAAATTTAACTTTGACTATTTTTACCATTTGATAATTTTTATTACCTTCACTATTTGGCATTCTACTTGAATTTCATAATTTAGTAAATAATAGAGCAATATAGTGACATGAAAGAATCGTTTGAAAAAGTGATTTGAAAATTATTTTTCTCTGGTTTCCTGACGAACCGGTTGAACGTTTGTAAATATTTTATTATGTTTAGGTTTTTAGATTATTTTTAGATTATATATTTTCATTCGGAAATTATATTCTGTATCAAATGGAAAATTGTTTCTTTCTTTTAATAATTTTAATAAATTTAAAACATCGATAGTGTTTGAAATATCTGAAATCTCTCAAAAACATGTTTTTGAACACGTTTAATTAAGTAAATTCAAACGTTCCTGTTTTTAACACGTTTCCTACAAATAGTTTATCAATTTTTACTGTTTCAAATACGCATAGAAATAACGAATCGAATTGCATTCAAGTATCGAACAGACTTCAATGAAAGAAGTTGCTGCTCTTGGAAAAGTAGAATGAAGTGAATGCAAACATTCCTGTTCTCTGCAGGTTTTCCATCCATATAAATTCCACAATAATGTCAGATGCAATTTCAGCAATAATTCAATAATTTTCACTGTTTTAAGAACGTATAGTGCACTGTAATTTCAAACCCGAAAAGGAATTGTCGTGTCTTGCAAAAATAAAATCAAGCAAACGGAAACGTCTTTGCAGATTTTTCTTAAATTTAAAACGTTTATCATTGATTGAAACGATTTTCGTAATAGTTCAACAATATTTACTTTTTCAAATGCACTTATAACCATGGTAAAAACAGTTTTAGAGATAGAAAATTACAAATTTCATGAAACTTTCGCTTCTATACTTTAACACAAAACCGAAAACATGATCTTTGAGAAACAGAATAAAGCAATTGCAAACAGTCTTGCTTATCAAACACGATTTCAACGAATGTTAATTAGANATACAATCATGATACCCGTGGGACTATCATATTGATAATTAATTACGGCTGCGAATGCAAATTTGTTCGTTCCTGCGTTACTATTTCCGTAGGCAGCGACTCGTTTCCACGGCGAAGTCCCTCTGACTTCGTTCTCATAAGCCGAATGATTTTTTGTGGTTCCCGATGACATAAAGTCAACGATTTTACGGAATAATTTTAAATAATTTCGAGACTTTAATGGTAACTCCTGACGATGCAACCAATTCCGCGGCAGAATCTGGGTGATCAATTATGCAAATGCGGAAAGAAAGATTTTTTCGAACGTCCGTAATAAATAACGAGAACATTACGACCGCTTTTAGCTTTCAGGCCGGAGGATGTTTATTAAGGCGTAATTAATTACGATGAGAAACAAGTAACAGCTTGTTAGACAAGGAAAACAGTGTCGTACATCCGGCGATGTTAGTTTAGTTTTCTAAAATTTTGAACGATGCCGTCAATTTCGAAGCTTATTAGACTTTTATCCAGATTTTCAGAATGAAATGTTGTATTGTTTTAGCTTCGTTGTTTTCTGATTGTTTCGCAGAGATTTTAAGTACGAAATTTAACTTTGACTATTTTTACCATTTGATAATTTTTATTACCTTCACTATTTGGCATTCTACTTGAATTTCATAATTTAGTAAATAATAGAGCAATATAGTGACATGAAAGAATCGTTTGAAAAAGTGATTTGAAAATTATTTTTCTCTGGTTTCCTGACGAACCGGTTGAACGTTTGTAAATATTTTATTATGTTTAGGTTTTTAGATTATTTTTAGATTATATATTTTCATTCGGAAATTATATTCTGTATCAAATGGAAAATTGTTTCTTTCTTTTAATAATTTTAATAAATTTAAAACATCGATAGTGTTTGAAATATCTGAAATCTCTCAAAAACATGTTTTTGAACACGTTTAATTAAGTAAATTCAAACGTTCCTGTTTTTAACACGTTTCCTACAAATAGTTTATCAATTTTTACTGTTTCAAATACGCATAGAAATAACGAATCGAATTGCATTCAAGTATCGAACAGACTTCAATGAAAGAAGTTGCTGCTCTTGGAAAAGTAGAATGAAGTGAATGCAAACATTCCTGTTCTCTGCAGGTTTTCCATCCATATAAATTCCACAATAATGTCAGATGCAATTTCAGCAATAATTCAATAATTTTCACTGTTTTAAGAACGTATAGTGCACTGTAATTTCAAACCCGAAAAGGAATTGTCGTGTCTTGCAAAAATAAAATCAAGCAAACGGAAACGTCTTTGCAGATTTTTCTTAAATTTAAAACGTTTATCATTGATTGAAACGATTTTCGTAATAGTTCAACAATATTTACTTTTTCAAATGCACTTATAACCATGGTAAAAACAGTTTTAGAGATAGAAAATTACAAATTTCATGAAACTTTCGCTTCTATACTTTAACACAAAACCGAAAACATGATCTTTGAGAAACAGAATAAAGCAATTGCAAACAGTCTTGCTTATCAAACACGATTTCAACGAATGTTAATTAGACTGTAGATCATTATGCAACACGATAATCATTTAAGTCAATTGAAATCTAAAAAAAAAATTTGGTTTCTTATGAGTTTTTTTTGGGAGTATATAAAAAGTTAATTATTTATTTTACTAATTTATATAAGCTAATAATTAATTGTATACTTACATTATACTTCAAAATATATACTCCGTCGAGTTCATTAATTAAAATAATAATTTATCTCAAATATAATCTAATATAAGAGATAAAATAAAATAGGAAAGATAAATAATTGCAAAAATTGATCTTATTATTGTACAAGGATATTCAATTAATTATCCTTCAATCAATAAAATTGATTTCATGGAAATCTATCGAAATTTCATAATCGTGTAAATATTAACATTAATATTGATGTAATTAAAGCAAATTTATTTGGGACAACTCGTAAGACTGTATAAGCAAATAAAAATTATCATTCAGGTTTAATACATTCGAATGTAATTATAGGATTTGCTAGGATAAAATAATCAGGGTCTGATAAAATATAAGATTATTATACGACAATAACAATATAAACGTAGACAAAATTAAATAATAATTCTGCCAAACGTGTAACATCGTCGCAGTTTCGCATCTAAACGGTTACCGATTTTTATGAAAAATCTGCGCTCCGGTAATCGCTGTTTCAAATGCACATGGTCGCAGAAGCCTGACGTAATTTTCTACACTTGAACTTCGGGAAATCGGCAGAAAGCGGCGATAGAGCCGCGTAATGTCTTCATGCGACCACGGTTACCAGTTTGTCGAACCTTTTCGCACCTAACTGGCCTCGCGAAGTTGTAACGTGTCACGTCCCGCCGTGCGTTTCCGTCGAGGACGCGGAACAGGACGGCGGAACGGCGGGGATCGTCGAAGATCCGCAAACTTCACACCCCTTGGCCGCGTCCGTAGCACTTTGAAGATCGGCCTGGCCCATAAATCAGTCTGAAATAATGCTGCCTCTGCGCGGAGCGTGCGAGCGAGCAAGCGGGCAGCAACCGGGCAGAGTGAACGCGCGCGTGAACGCGGTCGTACGAGCGAGCAATAAAATAAATCTTCGATACTGGTGGATACTAATGGATACCTTGTATGTAACGGCGGTGGTCTTGTTTTCTGTTCTGTTGTAGATGTGGGTGGCGGTGAGCGGGAGCTCTGAACCTCCTGCACCTTGACACACACACAATGTACACGCAACAACATCAACATCATCAACAACAACAACAACAACTACAACTACAACAACAACAACAACAAATTACAACATCAACAACAGTCCATAACAACAGAAAATTAATAAGCACGTTTTACGTTCGTCGTTAGACCCTTCTTCCATCGAGTTAATCTTTTATTTTTTTTTGTCGATTTTTTAAATTCTTGTATCGTTGCGTTTTTTTTTTGTTTCGTTGTTTCCTCCCCCATTTGATCGTACTCGTTGACTCTTCTCTGCACTGTTCGCGGTCACGACGACACCGCGATCGACAATCGAGTACTTAACGCGTGACCGCCACCACGAAATGGAAAAGAAAAATAGCCCAGCATGCCAAGCACTGTTGACTACCACATTCATTTCCCTTTCTTCTTCTTCTTCTTCATCTTCTTCATGTTCTTTTCTTCCGTTTCTACTGATTCTAATTCTTCCGTTGCTCTTTTGCTATCATCTACGATCACCTTTAGCCGCCTTCTACATCTACTTCGATACTAACAAACGAAAGAAAAGGGATAGAACATCGCTCGCGGCACACCCCTCTCGCTCTCGCGAAACGGTAGAGATTGATTTTGCTAGATAGGAGGTGAAAGAAAGTGAGAGAGAGGAAGCAAGAGAGTTTCCTTGAAGAGTAACTTTCCTCATCTTCCGATTTCTACCATCTTTGTTCCAGGAGCATACACTCTGTTCCCTACAAGGGCTCCAACGGCTACTCAAATGGCTATTCGAATGGCTACTCTAGGTATTAGAAGCCATCCGGCCACGTAATGTCCTGAAACATATCCTGTAGACGCGCGTTTCTCTGTTTCTGATTTTAGGCTATTTTCTAATCGAACGGTCGCGTCGACCAGTTCTTGGAATTTCGACCGGGATCGCGTCCGTTGATCGTCCAGAATTCGGCGGTACTCGCTGGCAGACGCGCGAACAGAATTTCCGGGGAACGATTGTTCTACTAAATTATTATCGACGGCAGCTGGGGTCACCGTGGAGTTTGTGCAATTTTGATAAACGCGAAACGAAACTCTCGACGAATGTTCTCGGCGAGCGTTCGTTTCGCGTCGCTCGACGCGTTCGCTACTAAAATCAGACGCGAATCGACGGGGAAGAAAATCGAATATCATGCATATTATTTGAAATTATAATCTGTAGAATGATGTTCAAGCGATTTCGAATTTTATCCGACGGTATCTTTCTTACATTCTAAGAGATCATTTGGTAGAATGTTGCGAGAGCTATTGTCATTGCGCCGCGGCGAGCGTATCAACGACGAAGAAAACGTTCGATTGCATAAATGGCCACAATCCAGCGATAAGACAAGCCCGAGAGGAAGCATACATTCACGGAAATCGGTTCCCGCCATAAATCGCCTTCGCAGCATCGACGAGTGAAAAGAATAAAGATTCGTTTCTACATTATTTATGACGGAAAAAGTATTCAACGACCGATCAGCTGGGTAAACGATTTACGAGGATCCTTACTTGGAGCAAGCCCGGTACAAAACGGCAGGCTTCTCGGAACCGTCTTCTCACTATCGATCGATGCACCATCGATTTATCCGGCTGAAAAGATATCGTTTTGTAAATAGAAGGCGGACCAAACGTTCCGCGAATCTCGCTCTCGAAGAAATTCGCCGAGCGTTGGCTCGACGCCGACGCTGAAATTTCAAGAACTCCTCGATGTCGCCGCGTGCCTATCCTTTCCGATGTCCGTCCGTCGGTTCTCCGAGTCCGTCGATCACACATTTTCGGTTCGAAAAAGAAAAGACAACGGCTTACACTATCAGGCCTTTCGAGTCGCAAGGGAAGAAAAGCAATCCCGTGGTTTCTGATCGTCTCCTCCGCCTATCAACCTCGCTTCTCGCACCTCCATTCCGCTTCGTCGAGTTTCTCGCTTCTGCCATTTTCCTGTACTCCGGGCCTAGACACCTAGACGTTAGCCACAGCAAGTCATGGAGACTGTCCACTGCGACTAAGACATCGAGAGACAGAAACGCAACCGACTGCAAGTCCCTTCCGAAGACTCGGAGGATTCCGAAACCAGCTGGAAGATCGACTCCGAGATCCCATTCTCCTAGGATCAACGATTGCGAAGACTATCAATTCATTTGACACCATTGTAATCGGTTCGAACGGTCGCAGGGATGACGCCGCCTCTTTGGACGACATTGGAAGATCGGTCCTACCATCCAATTCTCTGAGGGCCAACGTTCGCGAAGACTATTGTTCCATCGGCTACCATTGTCATCGGTTCAACAAGTCGCAAACACTGCTGCGTTTCTGCGAACGACGTTGGAAAATTGGTCCCAGCATCCAATTCCCCGAGGGTCAACGTCTACGAAGACTATCAATCTTCCTGGCACGATCGTAATCTGGTCAGTGAGACGAACTATATTACTTTGTTTCTGCGAATAAAGTTGAAAGATTAGCTCTAACATCCAATTCTCTGAGGACCAACGTTTGCGAAGACTATCATTCATTCCGGCACCATTGCAATCGGTTTAGTAAGATATACTGCTCTGCGAAAGCAATTCGAGGATTAGACCTGGCATCCAATTCTCTGAGGTTCAACGTCTACAAAGACCATCGATATTGATGAGACCGTTGCGATCGGACCACCAAGTCGTCGCAAAGATTGGAATTCCTTCGCATCCGATTTTCCGAGGATCAACGTCTACGAAGACTGTCAATCCTGCCGGCATCGTCGTAGTCGCTTCACCACAAGTCGCAAGAACTGTAGTCCTCCGTTTCTTCGATAGAAAGATCGGTCCTCGCATCCGATTCTCCGAGCGTCGACGTGTCCTGACATCGTTCAACGAGTCGCAAGAACTACGTTCCTCCGTTCCCTCGAACGAAATTGGAACTGTCTCGAGATGAAGTTCGGTCATCGATCGGTCCCGGCCGAAAGGAAAGTCGTGCCATTAATGTTGCGGCCGGAGAGCGAACGCGAGCAACGCCGAGAAATCAGATCTCGTTATCAACGACACGTTCGACCGCGCCAACTATCCTGACCAGTTCCGTTATCTCGAAGAAATCTACTCGCTCACGGTTCCTGCTTTCTTCCGCGGCAGGCCACCGGTAACAGCTTAATCATGGAAACCAGGCCCGAGTGTCCATGGGAACGAAGCAACGGGGCCAAGGTCGGAAGGGTAGGATTCACGCTTTCATCTGTGACATCCGCGCATCCTCTCGAACGCCACTGTTTCCTACAAGCTTTCGCTGAAAGTGGCTAGACTCCGGCGCAAGTCGACGAGTTTTCTGCAAGATCGACCAACCGAGTGATTCGAATTCCCGGTAGAGGCCCTGTCAACCGTCCGAGACATCCTAATCGAATTTCAATATCAAAGCGGCCTGATTGAGTTCGGGCCTAACAGGCCCCGGAAGCGGTTCATTTGTGCACGAGGGGTACGAATAGAGCAGCCGTGTCAACAATGTTCGAGAGAGGACCTCGGGCTAGAGAGCCAAATTGATCCCCGTAATGACCCGCTCGAAAGATGCTGCCGAGGACCCGGTGCTACCGTTGGGACCACGCCCAGGCCCCGAGCGACGTCTTCCTGGCTGATCCGATCCGGCCCGATCCGGGCCCGCACTCCAATTTCACCTGGATACCGATGGGAATCGGCTGTTCACGGCTGTCCACGGCGAATCGGTATCGCGGCGAGCCGAGGTTTCCATAGAGACGCGACCAGGCGACCTTGGAGCCGTGAAACAAGGCGGGTCCGCTGACGCAAATACCAGTCAGCTGGGATCGGTTTCCACTGGATGAACCGTCCGATCCGCGTGTCTCCTCGATCTCGCGCCGAGACACGGGCTCGCTCGATCAGAACGGCATGATCGATCGATCCCGCGTGGTCGCACCCTTCTCGCGTCCCCGCGACCTTCCGCGGGTCCCGACGAGCCGCGTGGAAAAGTTCGAGCGGGAAAAACGAGCCGCTCGTGAATGTCTTCTCGATGGAACAGCGACCGCTCGTCTCGAAAATGATCGACTAGGTAACGTTCGCGCGAACATCGACCAGTTTTCTGACGGTCCGTGGAAGCTTCGCTTCCTTCAGCCCGGGTTTGTAAGGCAAGACGCTTTGAGTCACTGTTCGAGACACTGTGTCGGTCTTTAGACGCGGTTCAATGGAGATTGCGACGGCTTAGAGCGAATAGGTTTGTCAGGGAAATTGCGAGGACGGGTTTCTGGGAAATTGCTGATGTTTTAGCTGTTGGAAGCTTGTTGACACGCTGGCTACCGCGTGACGCGTTCGACACTGTCGTGTAATTATTTGATTACATTTGATTACATTTGAAATTCTGTGCTGGAATTGCCGAGAGGGAATTGTATCTTGGCTGACGGATGAAAATGGCTATTTTTCCGATCTTAAGAGAATTCATGAAATTATTCATTGTCTCTTATGCTTTCAAGATTGCTAATTCATTCGGATGTGTGATCTAATGAAATTGTTATTACGATTATTGATAGAATAAGTACTCACGATGAAACGGCATTGCAGAGTCGAATATATAAAATACATAGACTGTGGATTATTGTGCAAGATAAAAATTGTATGCGCCGATTACATGAAATCGAAACAGGATAGAAATTTCTTTCTTTCTTCGGTAATTTTAACTTAATGTGAAAATAATACATTGAAATTTTCTTCAATTCCTTGAATCTTTCGGTTGCTTTAAATTGTTAGTAATCAATTTTATCATAAATGCATACAATCCGCACTCCAGTGATTACTGTATCTATATTTTTAATAATATTATTATTAATCGAAACTCAGTGATTTAATAGCAATCTTGTGGACATAAGTAGCGATAAATAATCTTACGAAATTTTTTGTAGCGAGAAAAATCATTTTCTTTCTTTTCTATAGTATTTCCTGAGTTTATTATGGTATTAATGCAAGAAGGTAAAAAGTTATCAACCATGTTAATTCTCAATTTTCGGATTTTATTAGTTTAAAGAAATTACGTCAATTTGGTGAATTTATATTAACCGATTCGATATTCAATTCGTTAAATGCATTCTCGATTATTGTAATATACGAAACTGTAGATTAGAAATCTTCGTTTATTAAATAAGTGCAAACGATATTTCGAAAAGACATTCTTATATATGACTTGTAGATTTTGGAAAACTATGAAGTGTTTGCTGGTGAATGATCTGCTAAAAGAACTTAGTTGTCCAGAAATTGATAAACAAAATGTTAATACAATTTTTCACCTAGATCTTATCGCATTTAGAATTTTTATATAAATTCACATAATTTGAATAAGAATTTTTATTTTGCAAACGTGTCAAAAATGCATCGAACATCAGTTACAATGTGTAGCCTTTTAACATTTCAAATTTCAGTATTCGCATTTCAAAATGAAAATTATTTCAGTAGTTATGTCAAGGTTATGTCAAGGTTATGTCAAGGTTATGTCAAGGTTATGTCAAGGTTATGTCAAGGTTATGTCAAGGTTATGTCAAGGTTATGTCAAGGTTATGTCAAGGTTATGTCAAGGTTATGTCAAGGTTATGTCAAGGTTATGTCAAGGTTATGTCAAGGTTATGTCAAGGTTATGTCAAGGTTATGTCAAGGTTATGTCAAGGTTATGTCAAGGTTATGTCAAGGTTATGTCAAGGTTATGTCAAGGTTATGTCAAGGTTATGTCAAGGTTATGTCAAGGTTATGTCAAGGTTATGTCAAGGTTATGTCAAGGTTATGTCAAGGTTATGTCAAGGTTATGTCAAGGTTATGTCAAGGTTATGTCAAGGTTATGTCAAGGTTATGTCAAGGTTATGTCAAGGTTATGTCAAGGTTATGTCAAGGTTATGTCAAGGTTATGTCAAGGTTATGTCAAGGTTATGTCAAGGTTATGTCAAGGTTATGTCAAGGTTATGTCAAGGTTATGTCAAGGTTATGTCAAGGTTATGTCAAGGTTATGTCAAGGTTATGTCAAGGTTATGTCAAGGTTATGTCAAGGTTATGTCAAGGTTATGTCAAGGTTATGTCAAGGTTATGTCAAGGTTATGTCAAGGTTATGTCAAGGTTATGTCAAGGTTATGTCAAGGTTATGTCAAGGTTATGTCAAGGTTATGTCAAGGTTATGTCAAGGTTATGTCAAGGTTATGTCAAGGTTATGTCAAGGTTATGTCAAGGTTATGTCAAGGTTATGTCAAGGTTATGTCAAGGTTATGTCAAGGTTATGTCAAGGTTATGTCAAGGTTATGTCAAGGTTATGTCAAGGTTATGTCAAGGTTATGTCAAGGTTATGTCAAGGTTATGTCAAGGTTATGTATTCGCATTTCAAAATGAAAATTATTTCAGTAGTTTGAAAACAGAGACCAATTTGAATTCTGCTAAATTTTCTTCAAACATGACTCGAAGCGTTTTGTATTAATAAATCGTCGCGCAGTTTGCTAATTCATTCGATGCAAATTCAGAATTGTCTTTTAAACGTACAGACAATGATGCTGAGTAAATGAAAATTCAAATAACGAAATATTATCAAAACTATAATATACATTATGTATAGCATGCTCGCGATGTCTAACATATACATTACGAGCATAACTTTCGAGACAAGCTAATAATTTCAACGAGCCCGCAGAACTTTTCAAATCAAAATATTATCGTGCAATCGGTTTTGAAACAAATTTACGTTCTCGTAAAAGTTCTTTTAGAAATTACCTCAAAGTACCAATTATCGTTTCGATTTAAACGCCAGAAAAATGAATTCACAAAGCATCAAATCGAACACAAAACCGCGACAACAGCGGTTAACAATGTTTTTGCAAAGGTGTTAGCCTATTTTCCGAGACGACAATCGCCAGCAACTATTTCTCCTCCGACTATTTCTCAAAAACACCGTCGGTTCTTGAAATATCCTTCAAAATCATCCAGAAATCGAGATCACTATTTTTCCTTCCGTCAGTATACTCCCAATCAAAACCGCGAATTCGACTGTCTTTGATATTGTAAAAAGTTCCGTACGCTTTCCGAGAAAAAGAGAGAGAGTGTGTGTGTGTGAGAGAAAGAGAGAGAGAGGGAGAAAGAAAGGTGCGATTCGCGCGACACACGTTGTATTAAATTTTAATATATTTACGGCGCCGGACCTCGAGCTGTATATTTTTCGTTGTCTCTCTTGTTCTAGGAGCGCAATCGCGATCGTGCGCGCGTACGCGCGATCGAGAAATTCGCCAGGCTAGTTTTATAGTCACCTCGTTGTAAATTACACGGCATTAGCGCGCGCGCGCGCGAGCGAAATCATGCACGTAACACGCGTGCGTGTCTATCGCGGATGAGAAGCAAATCTGATTTAAATGTTCCACCGGCTTTCGCCTGTCGTCTTCTGGGGCATCTCGACGAGGATCGAGATCGAGCCGGTCAGCTCGTAGACGGACGTAAAAAACTGCGATTTTTGAGATCGGGACAATCGGCGACCAAT